TGCGGCGCTGACGCAGACGGGGGGTGCCGGTCGCGCTGGCCGGCGTTGACTTGGCGCCCTCGTTGACTGCCGGCGCCTCAGGCCCCTCAGGGGCCACTTGCGCTCGAGGCACAATAGCACCTCTCAACGGACCCTCCGTACGAGGTCGACACCTCGACGACGCCGGTCGCGGTCAGCGTGCCACGACGTCCACCTAGCCATCGGCGCGGACTGCGACGTGAGGCCCACCGCGATTTCTGACTGACCACTGCGCTGGCGCGCAGAGCCACACGTCGCCCATCCGAAACACAACATTCCACGCGGCGAACATCGATCGGCAAATGTCTGTCCACGCGGCAATCAAGCCTTCGCCGGCCTGCTGGCAGGAACGTCCCCGCGGGATACCATCGTCGGGCGACGCCATGAGCACTGCTGCGTCATGCCGACGTGTAAGCACGGTTCACCGTGACGGGAACACCGGACAGTCGGCTGCGAAAAAGACATGAGTGCCCCGTGCAACGTCGACCATTGCGCCGCCGTGCCGTTCTGCCTTGCATGCAGAGTTGGAGACATGCCCACGGATCGCCCGCCAACACCTGTCCGCCCGAACCACGACTGTGCCTCTCTATGCTATGACCCCCTGATGGCCAAGTGTCCATGGCATTTCGACACTTGTTTGTTGCGCTGCATTCATTTCCATTCTGGTGAGCCACATTTCCCTTGCTCATTTTCACGCTTCTCGGAGACCGACCGACCACGCGTGGTGCAGGGTCGACGACGAGCCACGCCGGTGTAGAGTGCGTTTAGGTCGGCCTACTTTACGGGCTTCCGACTTAGGATCATTCCGACTAGGACGACTAACTAGGTCGATAACAACCAAAAGTCGCCGACCTCTTTCTTCAAACCCACAACCAGTATTGTCATCGCCGGTGATCCCCCGTGCGGCCTCCAATGGTCAGGGACCAGTCTAACAACATCCCGCCGGACAACACCCCGCCGAACGATACATTGCCACTTCACACCCCGCCGACCATTGTGCCGCCGACCACGGCCACTCCGAACATCACCCAGCAGAACACCAATCCGCCGCCCTTACTTCCCGAAATTCCAGAACTGACCGACATTGCCGCGGAGTTGACGATCGCCGAGAACGTTGAGAGGGCCGAAAGACGGGCGGCCTTTAGGGCCACGGTGCGAAGGCAATACACGGCAGCGATTGTGCAGTATCGACTTTGGTGGGCTGAGCACGTACCGCAGCGAGATCGCGGCGACAACTAGAGGCCGACGGGAACAGCTCTACCCGCCGAGATGGCTGGCGTCGCGCCGCCGGCGGGGAGCAGCGCGATTCCCGACCTGAACGAGCCTTTCATGGAGGAAGATGTACACACCGCTAGGGCAAATATTCCCGCCGACATGGTGGTCGACGTAGATGCCGCTAGGGCAAAAATTCCCGCCGACCCGACCATCCCCCTACCGCCAGGGACGAAAGGGGCTCCCGAACCCGAGCCGGACCGGTACTCGCCGCGTTCGGACACGGAGCAGCCGCCGCCAATTGGACCATTTCCAGAAAACGACTACATGTATCTGACCGTAGAGGACTTGTTGGCAGCCGACGAGAAAGATGACGCCTTCCTGCAAAACATTCCGCGCGACGATTTTGCGGAAGCCGCCTTCGACATCAACAAAGAGCTCGCCAAGAAGAACAGATTGCTGAGGATGATGTGGGGTTTCCGGCATCTGGACACGCTGGAGGCGAGAACGACCCGGATTCAGTACCTGCGGGCGCTGCTCGACTTCAGGAGATGGTGCTGCGTGAACCTTCCAAGACAGCAAACCGCCAGAGTCAAGGGGGACGGCGTGCTGGAACACGAGGATGAGATAGGGAGGTACATCGACGAAGACATGGGTGATAAGTGGCACACCGCCAAGGGCGACCTACAATGGATGCACGGTCCCCGCGTCAACGCCACGCGGATCAGGGCGTACATTCTGTCAATCGCGAGGCAGGAAGGTATTGCAAAGGCCGAGGAGCTCGAGGAGCTGAATCCCGACGTTCGTGTCCAGCCCCTGAAGCCGACAACCGTTTCGATGCTGCTCATCCGCATCAAAGCGCTCCAGACGGCCTGCAAGGTCGAGGGGACGCTCTTCGGGGTGAAGGAGCTCCACATCATGTACGACATCTCCGAGGTCCGCTCGGAGGTGCGCGCGATGGTCAGAGAGAAGTGGCACAGGGACGACAGGTAAGTCGGCAAGTCGTCCCGCGCGGTTCACGCCTGTTTCCCGGTTCGCCCAGCTAACCCAGTCCTCGTGGAAACTGATGTGCAGGGATTGCGTCGACCGGCACCGCGGAACGCTCGGCGACACGTACACCACCGACCAGATCCGCCACCTCATGTTCAAGGTCTTGCCGACCTGGGCAGCTCGGGCGTACGAACCCAAGGCGGCCACCCCCTCCCAGACACTGTGGAAGTTTCTGCTGATGAAGACGATGACCCTCTTGGGTCACCACACCCTTCTCCGCGGAGGCAGTCTCCGAGCGATCGAGCTCCCCGACCTGTTTTTGTACAGAATGGGGAACGCGTCGCCCGAGCACTCCACGCGACGGCCGGTTGTCATGGTCGTCGCGTCACGAAACTCCAAGACGAACAAGGATGCTCGTCTGCATCACAGCTACGCGGCGAGACACCTGGAGCAAGAGATGTGCGCCGTCGGTCACACACTGTTGTGGCTGCACTTCGTGTACGACCAGCTGAGCCGCTCGCCCACCTCTCGATGTGTGCCGCCCCTCGACTTCACAACTTCGTACAGCTGGTATCACAAGCACCTCTTTCATGCTCGGAACGACAAGGCACAAAAAGAGCTGCCGGCTTCATCACATTCTCGGATCACGAAAGAGATGTGGCGGACGAACAAGATCTTCATCACGCGCAACACCCACGCCGCCCGGGCGGGTGGGGCACAGGAGCTGGCCGACGACGGCGTTCCGCGATCTGACATCGCCGACTTGGGCCACTGGGCGCTCGACAAGCCCGCGAAGAGCTACATCACGACCATCCCGAAGGCGGCGGTGTTGAGAAAGGCCGGCTACACGGGCAAGCGCGGCGACTACCACCTCGGCCGGAGCATGGTGAAGCCCGACGACAAGGTGGTGGCCCTCATCGCCCAGCACATCTTTCCGTGGGCGGAAGCGGAACTGGCCAAGGTGAGCATTTCGGACGGCAAAAACGCCGACAGCCCGCCGACCATTTCCACGACAACATTCTACCGCCGGCTGATTGTGTTTGTGTTTGTGTTCGACTCACAGGCGGTAAGGTGCGCATCCGCGAGAGAGCCCAACACGGCCGGGGTGCACTTCCTGCAATCGCTCATCGAGTTTGGCCGCCGAATCGTCGCCGAGGATCTTGCGTGCATGCTGATGCGCGAACCGTGGCACCCGTACGTCCAGAGTTCCAAGCTCTGCCGCGACCCCGACTTCCAGAAATGGGCCAAGGACGTCAACCGGGTGGACCTCGAAACCATCGCGACGCGCAGTACTCCGAGCGAGAACCCCCAAGAGGTACGGCGTGCGCGTTCCGGCGACTTGTAAAACAAGTCGTCTTGCCACATTGGCTCACCTTTTGCCGAACATCCCCCTTGGATCGCAGGAATTCAGCGCGCGAGTCGACGCCGAATATCAGGTCGACCAGCTCACCATGATGCTGCACCGCCAGAGGGAGGATGCCGCGATCGAGAAGCTTGAGATGCAGAAGAAGTTGGAGGAGAAGGACGCGGGGATCACGAAGTTGATGCAGGCTCTCAAGCTGGCCGAGGAACGGCCGACGCCGACTGCGCCGGCACCGTCAAGGCCGATGACCGCCGCCGAGAAGGCAGCGTCCGTCAAGATCGAGAAGGAACAGGACGATGACCTGACGTACGAGGTCAACGTCGTGCATCCCTGGCGCACATCCAAGACGGTCGAGGCTGCATGGCGCTGGTGGAACAACCCGTCCAACTTTGACTCGCGTCCGTTGCGCGAACGTTACGACGAGCACAGATTCCTCGTCAGACACACGCGCATGATCTGCAAGGTCGAAAAGGGCGACAAACCCGCCGCGTCGGCGAAGTCGGCAAAGAGCTCTCGTCCCACGACCGAGGTGGGTGAGACAGGGAAAAATGATGCGCTGCAACACTGCACTCGCCGGATGAGGCGGATCATGGAAGCGGTGCACGACTTGCGGCGGAGCGACGACGCCGCTGACACCGCCGCCGTCATCAAGCTACTCGACCACCTGGGGCGAGCGGGGCTTTCCACTTTCAGCGACGCGCTCTTGGTCCTCCGTGCAACCCCGCCCATCAAGGTCCCCACCACAGCCGACGGAAAGTCGGTCGGCATCAAGGGTCTGGACAAGCCGCTGGCGAGGAAGCTCGCCGTTGCGTGGGGCGTGGTCACGGCGGGCTACATGGACGCTGACTGGGGAAAGAGGCTCTTCGGCGACTTGTGGGATGAGCAGGCCAATAAGGTCGGCTTGGAGGCCGAGGCGACGGCGGGAGCCATCGGCGCAGGGAAGCGCAAGAGGGCGGGCTGAGGGTACTGCGTCTGGGTCCGACTTGTGCTGCTAGCTGGGCGTGGTGTGACTGAGGGTGGGTTGAGGGCGGGCCGAGGGCGGGCTGAGGGCGGGCTGAGAGTGGGCTGGGGGTGTGCTGAGCGTGTCCGACCTGTTCTAGTGATCCTATATGGTTTTCTTTTACTGCCAACGTTGTTTCGACTTGTAAATTAGTAGAAGTTTGTCTCTTGTTCATGCATCAAACCGACTCCACACCACAAAACCTACTTCACAACGTTTCTGAAAAACTACCGACGAACAAGTTCAGCATCCCTAAGCCGGAGAGGCACAACAAAACAACAAAACAGCACCCGAAACCAGACACGTCGACCATGTCACGAGCGGTCGGGCCAGCGTTCGTAGGTCTTCGTCAGAAAGCCTGCAGCGTTTGCACCCACGCCGACCATGCTACGAGCAGGCGGGCCAGCCTTCGTCGACCTAGGCGTCGGCGACCTGCTTCCCTTTGTGCTGCTGCCCCCTCGCCCCCCTGTCCCGAATGATAATCTTCATCTCGGGGTCGATAGGCAAATCGACGCCGCGAGCCTTGAGCTTCGGGCCTCCGACATTGCAGTCCCCCCAGAAGGCGAGGTTCTCTATCATGACACGGGCGATCAGCTTGTCGTGCTCGCGCTCCTCTCCGACCTCAGGCAGCGACCTCACCACAGCCGCCTGCAGGTCCTTCGTCACCGTTTCGGCGACCTCCCCTACGACGACCACCCGGGAGGCCGCCCGCTGAAGCACCGCCTCGATGACGGTCCGACACCGACTCGCGAACTCGTTGGACGCTCCGCACATGGTCGCTGCCGCCCCCCCTTCGCCGGCCGCTACTTCCGCCGTGGCATTGGTCTCCGAAAAACACCACACCGCGGCCGCAGTACCGGCGAGGATCTCGGACAACCGCTCCGACCCGACGCCCGGAATGGGCGTCACTTTCGCGGCCACCGGTGCGAAGGCGGCACACATCGAAACGCGTGCGATCATGTCGCTCGCCACCTTCCTCTTCGCGGCCTTCTCGGGCTCGGTAAACTCCGGAAGGTCGCCGAACCACACCGCCGGGCGAAGAGCCAACAAGAGAGCTGCGCGGTCGGCTCCGGTTATCCTGTTGTATTCCGCGACCACCTGTTGGAACCTGCGAAACACAGCAGGAATACCCACCGTCACCGACCGCCCCACGCGAACCGACCGAAACGAGCACCAAATTGAGCATTCGCCAAGCTTACCTGTCGCGGAAGACGTTCGCCCCTCGGCTCCACATGACCATCCACATGCCCCCCGGAATCAATCGCGCCACATTCCAGTCCGCCTTATACTGCGCCATCACTTCCTCCTTGACCCCACCGAACTCCTCAAGAACCACGTCGCTGACGAAGCCGTCGAACGACGAAACGGCGACAGCGATGCAGTAGGCGGCCTCGGACTTGTCCATCGACCGGCAGATGTAACGGCTCTTCTTCCCAAACTTCATCTCCGAGACAGCCAGCCCATTTGAAGGGTCAACGCGGACGCCTGAACCCTTCCGACCCTGCGCGGCCGCTTTGGACGTCCCCTTGGAAGAGCCGACCTTCGCCGGGCCGCCCTTCGCCTTGTCCTTGCCCTTGCGCTTCTGCTTCCCATCGCCGACCTCACCGGTTGTGGCCGGGGGGGATTTGGCGCCAGCCGCGCTATGGTCCTCCGCAGGAGCAGTCGAGGCGGCTGGTGCACCCTATTGCGCTCCCACGGTGGGAGCTGCTGCTTGTAGTTTTTCCCGCATGACCTCAATTTCCAGGTCCGGCATCACGATGCTGGCGAGGATCTCTTCGTCCACCCCGCCGGCCTCTTCCGCCGCTCTCCACACAGCCGCCTCCATCGTTGAGCCACTCGGCCTTGCAGTCGCCGCCGCGACGTTCGCTGCCTCTGCTCCTTGGTCGACCGCCTGGTTGCTGTGAGTCGGAGGAATTACCGGGGTTTTCTGACCCTGATCCTCGAGCCATTTCAGATACTCGTCGAACGATGGCTTTTGACTGACTAGAGCCTCGACCGCCCGAGACTCAACAGCCGTTGGGATCGGGATCGGTTCCGCGGCGACCATGGCCCCATGAACGGGTAAGCTGGCCGCACCGGTAGCCTGCTGGACATGCTGTCCGACCACCGCTGCTGGGCGCAAGAGCTCGTCGACCAGCGCCGTGGCGCCAGCCGGACTCGTCGCGGTGGGGGGATGCTGGCCCGTACCTGGCGGCCCGCCCTGCTGTCCGACCACCGCTGCTGGGCGCAAGAGCTCGTCTACCAGCGCCGTGACGCCAGCCGGATGCGCGTCTTGTGCGGTCGGCGTGCTCGTCGACGGGTGAAGATGCTGGCCGGCACCGGGCGGCCCGCCCTGCTGTCCGACAACCGCTGCGGGGCGCAGGAGTTCGTCGGGCAGCTGCGCTGTGACGCCGGTCGGTCGCGCAGTCGGCGTACTCGTCGCGGGTTGAACATGCTGGACCGCAACGGGCTCCCCGCGCGCCTAGCCGACCACCGCTGCGACGTGCATGTCGTCTGCCATCTGGGCCGTGCCGCCGCTCGGTCGAGCGCCTTGTGCAGTCGCCGGACTGGCCTCGGGGTGTAGATGCTGTTCCGCCGTTGGCTGCCAGCCCTGCTTCGCGACCACGGATGCCTCTCCCATGAGCTCGTTGGCCAGACTCACCTGGTCGCAGCTCGGTGGCGCGTCGTGTGCGCTCGGCGGATCGGTCAGGGCCTGTGGCTGCTTGTCCCCCACGGGCTGCCCACCGGTCTTCCCGACCACCGACTGAGGATCCTGGAGCGCGACGTCGACCTATCGAAAATCTTCGCTCGGTCGCGCGCCAAGTCCATCTTTCAGCAAGTCGTGGACACCGGGGATACGAACATACAGAGGGGCAGGAGGATCCACGCCCACACCGCGTTTCACCGCAGGTCCTCTGCTTCGCTTAGAACCGCTGGTCTGGTCGCCGGTCAGGGATTTTTCGTCGGCGACCCTTTTCCCCGACTGCCTTGGGGCCGGCCCACTCTCCTCGGCGGTTGCGCGACCGCCGTGCATCACCGACGCGAGAGCAGTTGGGAGGAGGCTAAACCCGGCGGTGCCAATGCCCTGTTGGGTCGCGGAGGTGACCGCCTTCACCAGGTCGTCCCTAAGCTCTTGGACGACCTTCGCAGTCACGGCAGCGGCGATCCGCTGCGCCTCGCCCTCCATGGCGGCCTTCACCTCGGCAGACACGACTGTTTTGATCTTTTGGCCAAGAGCATCTGCCACACCTCGAAGCAGCAGGAGGTCGTCCTCCCGTCGCCTACCCTGTGCAGCAGTAGCCGTCAAGTGCAGGGCCTGCACGGTGGGCAGCCACTGCGTGTTGATGAATTCTAGGGTGGAGCCGCAATAGCTCACCGCCTCCTGCACGACCGCCCTCATAGCGTCCACCACCGTTTGGATGCTCCTCCCCGACGTCTGCTCAAGATGGGTCACGCCCTCGGCGACTGTAGCGAGCTTGTTCACGACCGAGGTGACCACGCCGTACATCGTGTCGTTCCGGGCCGTCTGGAACTCCAGCCTCTTTTCCGCCACCAGCTTCTCCTCCCTCAGCTTCTTGATCTCCCTCTCCGCCGCCTTCAGACGCTCGATAGCCGCCTTTGACGCCATCCTAGTCGGGGTCGAGCCACTGCTGCCCCGGGCCTTCTTGCCCACATTGGGTCCGCTGCCGCCGCTCTTATCCGCAACCTTCTCACCGGCGAACTGTACTGCCTCCTCTTCGCCGGTGACAGCCACGTCGTCCTCCTCACGCTCCACGTCCTCCTCTTCTTCCGAGCCACCGTCGTGCTCCCCGCCCCCCTCGACGTCCTCCCTCTCGTGCTCCTCCTCCCCACCCAGAGCGATGGCGGTTCCGACGCCACGGGCCACGGTCGACGCCGCCTCCTCTTTGTTCGACGCGGCCTTCTCCGCATGGTGCAGCAGCTCCAATCGGAGCGCCTTCAAGCCGACCATCTTCGGGTTCTCGACGATGAGCGGATCGTAGCTGCGATGCACGTCGTCCAGATGCTCCAACGACCACGCGAACGCGTTGACCGCCAACAGCCCCGTGCCGGCGACCTCCTCCTTGAGGATGTCGGGCAATTTCTGCATCAACATCCGAAGCACATGGCGCCGACGAAAAGGGTGAGTCGACGCCTGGACGACAATAGTGTTGGAATCACTAAACAGGAATGGATGAACTAGCAGTGAAATGAGTACAAGTACCTAACCCTAGAATTGTGTACCCCCTATAGGCTAACCCACTGTAGCCTAAACTAACACAACATATATAATGTTTGACACACCCCCATAGGCAAAGTGGGGGAGAACTAGGGGTCACAAGACCAGTCAAGGCAAAGCAAGGCAAAAACAAGCTCAGGGTGGATCTCAAGGATACCACACAAATTCCGAGCACAAGCAAGTGGTCACAAGACCAGTTCACATGCAGGTTTATAATAGAGCAAAAGGTACAATGATCACAACCTAACAAGAGTAAACATGCAGATACATATATAGAGATCACAGTACAAACAGACTCAAGAAGTAAGCAAGTGAGGTCCAGTAGGCACAAGGCCTAGAAGAGTGCAAAAGCGCTGATGGTCACAAGGCTGAAGCGCCTTGGTGAACACATAAGCAGTGTTGGCCTCAGAGGCCACGTAACGCAGGCGAAGCTGACCACGCTGCTGCAGCTCTCGAGCAAGGAAGTAACGCAGAGCAATGTGCTTCGTTCTGTGCTCCAGTCTGTGCTCCTCACACAAGGCAATGGCTGCCTTGTTGTCGACGTACAGCACTGGAGGAGAACGAGGCTGCTCTCCAAGGTCGGTCAGCAAGTAGGTGAGCCAGCGTAGCTCCTGGGCCGCCATGGCTGTGGCGTAGATCTCAGCCTCACAACTGGAGCGGAGAACAGAAGAAGAGCGAGTAGAACGCCAAGAAACAGAACCAGGGCCAAGACTGAAGGAGTAACCCTGAGACGACCGCTGAGTAGCCTGGTCGTCTGCCCAAGAAGCGTCTGAGTGCCCAGTGAGAACAACTGGGACTCGCCCTCCAAGCACTAGCCCCATGCCCGACGTACTGCACAAGTAGCGCAACACCCTCTTAGCTGCATCCATGTGCTCCTTCCGGTGACGGCCGGGAGCGACATAGCGTGCAAGAATGCTGAGAGGGTATGCAAGGTCTGGTCGAGTGCAGGTCATCAGGTACATGAGGCAACCCACAAGCTCTGGATACGGGCCACTCGGCTCTACGGACTCATCCGAAGGCAGAGCTGAGAGCGAGTGACCGGCAGGCAGAGGAGTGGGCTGAGGCGAGGAGTACGTGAAGCGGAAGCGCTGAAGGACCTGCTGCACCATGTGTGACTGAGTCAAGGTGATGGTGCGGCGTGCTCTGTCCCGGGTGATCCGCAAGCCAAGATAGCTTGTCAGTTCACCCAGGTCTGTGCACGTGTGTCTCTTCTGCAGCTCCGACTTCACGTGGGCGAGTGCCACAGTGTCAGCAGTAGCAAAGACCAAGTCGTCGACGTACACAAGGACGTAGAACGGCGGCAGTGAGGTGTCGGTGCGTAGAAACAGCGACGGGTCAGCAGTAGAAGGAGCGAACCCAAGAGCCGCAAGCGTAGTCCTCAGTGTGTCGTGCCACTCACGAGGCGCCTGGCGGAGACCGTAGACTGGCCGTCGGAGGCTCCACTGGGTACCAGGAGGGAACGACCCAGTGAAGCCAGGTGGACGGCGCAGCCAGATCTCCTCGTGCAGGCTGCCCTGTAGGAAAGCAGTGCTGAAGTCAAGCGAGTGGAGCTCGTAGTCACGCTGAGCGGCGACGTGCAGCAGAACCCGAAGAGTGGTCATCTTCGGGGTCGGGGAGAAGGTCTGGAAGAAGTCAACTCCCTCTCGCTGACTGAAGCCTCGTGCAACGTAACGCGCCTTGAAGACAGGCGGAGAGCCCGGCGGCCGCTTCACCATGAAAATCCACATGCCACTGACGATGTTCGCCCCAGGTGGGGGAACCTCGTCGACGTAGGTGCCTGTGGACTTCCAGGAAGCCATCTCTGTGTCCATGGCTGACTGCCACTGAGAGGAGTAGGGACCGGCCATCGCCTCTGCGAAAGAGCGTGGGGTCGGGATGTCTGGTGCATCCGGGTCTCCCTCAGGGGCAACAAGCATGGACACGAGATGGGGCAAAGCGGCAGCAAAGCACTCAAACTCCTCCTGCCTGTCCTCAAGGACGTCAGTGCCAAGAGCACACTCACCCCCGACGGACGGAGGACAGACAGACTCAGACTCAGCAACTAGGCTAGCAGCGTAGTCTAGACGACAGCGAGCAGCAAAGTCGACAAGCTCAGCAACTAAGGCAGACGCAGCAGCAGACTCAAAGGAAGGGTCAGTGACAACAGTAGCCAGGAGACGCTTGACAGTAGGACTGGTAGCACGAAGAGAGTCTGACCCAGGGTCAGCAAGAGCAGGAAGAGAGGAAGCAGGAGGAGACGGCAGTGGGACACGCTGTGGAGCAGTGGACGGACGAAGCGCCATCCGGTGAGTGCCTGGGACAGCAGGAAGACGCTGACGCTGGACTCGACTACTAGAAAGAGCAGTGCGGACAGGCGACTCAGGACGAGACTCAGGCGACGCAGGACGAGACGCAGGCTCACGCCGCTCAGTAAGACCTCCAGTCGGACCAGTGTAAGGAGCAGGACCAGGGAGAAAGGAGGCAGACGGTAACGCCGACTGCAGCTGGACAGGCGGAGGACACGCTAAGGAGGGAGGAGGAAAAGGAGGAGGAAGCTGACCAAGAACCTGCTGAAGGAGCGGAACAAAGTACGGCCGAGACCGAGCAGCGACACCAGAGCCAGCAGGGACACCCGCACCAGGATCCGCAGCACCAGCAGCAGCTCCAGCGCCCACGTCCTCAGCACCAGCGGCAGCTCCAACGCCCGGGTCCTCAGCACCAGCGGCAGCTCCAACGCCTGGGTCCTCAACACCAGCAGCAGCTCCAACGCCCGGGTCCTCAGCACCAGCAGCGGCTCCAACTCCCGGGTCCTCAGCACCAGCAGCAGCTCCAACGCCCGGGTCCTCAGCACCAGCGGCAGCTCCAACGCCTGGGTCCTCATCACCAACAGCAGCTCCAACGCCCGGGTCCTCAGTACCACCAGCAGCTCCAACGCCCGGGTCTTCAGCACCAGCAGCACCTCCAACAGCAGCGGGGTCCGTAACACCAGGCACGCCACTCCGAAGAGTGCAGCGCCGCTCGTACCACTCACGGATCCGCTCGCGGGAGGGGAGCTCCCGAACGGGAGAAGAAGCACTAGCACCAGTCCCAGTAGTACGTCCGGCTCGAGCGGTACCTCTCCGAAGGCTGCAGTACTCTAAGTACCACGCACGCAGCTGCTCCGAGGAGAGGGCTCCTCCAGGTGCAGGACTCCCAGGCCTAGTACCTCCAGACTCAGAACCCCCAGACTCCGGACTCCGCAGCTCAGCACCACTAGGCTCCACACCCCCAAGCTCAGCACCCTCAAGCTCCACACCCCCAGGCTCCACACCCCCAGGCTCCACACCCCCAGGCTCCACACCCCCAGGCTCCACACCCCTAGGCTCAGCACCCCCAGGCTCAGCACCCCCAGCAGGACGAGAGTCGACAGCTACCTCAACAGGCTCAACCGGGTCTACCTGAGACACACCTGAGGGAGCGGCACCCTGAGGGGGGAGGGGGTCTGCAACAGCAGCACCTGGCGCGAGGAAGAGAGGCGGGGGGGGGAGCGGGGCGGTGCGGTAGGGGAAGAGGCGGTAGTAGGGGACGGACTCGTCAAAAGTGACGTCCTGGGAGGGCAAGACTCGGCGCGAGGTGGCGTGGTAAAACTGCCAACCAGACGCGTCCGGGACAAAGCCGAGGAAGACGCAGGGAACAGCACGGGAGGAGAGCTTGTCCGCAGACGAATCGCGGACAAAAGCTCGAGACCCCCAGACCCGGAAACGCGACGCATCGCCAACCTCCCCCGTCCACAGCAGCGTGGGCGAGGTCTCCGGCAAGGAGACACGGGGCCAGAGGTTGAGCTGATGCGCAGCGTACCGGACCGCAAACGGCCACAGAAAGTGGGGGGCAGCCGCATGGATCAAGGAGGTACGGGCGACCTCCATGACCAGGCCAATGCGGCGCTCCGCAACCCCATTCTGCTGTGGAGAAGCCGGAAGCGTGAACGACTGCTCAATGCCGTGCTCAGCACAGTAGGCTGCCAAGAGGTCGGAGGAGAACTCACCACCTCTGTCAGAGTGCAAGCGCAGGACAGGAAAGTCCGAGTGAAAACGCTCGCTGAGCTGGAGACGGGCTCTGCGGATCCAAGGGATCAAGACATCAGGGACCTCACCCTTGGTGCGCAAGGGGAAGACCGAGGTGTAGCGCGAGTAGTCGTCAACAACTATCAGGAAGTACCTCTCCTGACCCTGACCACGGACGCGGGCTGGGCCCCACACGTCCATGTGGAGTGTCTGCAAGGGAGCAGTCGTCGGGGGGAACGAGGAGGAGTGAGGAGCGGCGCGCTGCCGTCCCTCGACACAGGGGAGACAGGTAGGAGCAGGCGAGGGTGGGAGGGGAGGAAGGACCCTGGGCAGGCCAGAGACAAGGTACCGGGAGTGCATGGCACGAAGCCGCTGCACAGACGGGTGGCCAAGGCGTTGGTGCCAGAGGACAGTCTCGTGTGCCAAAGAGCGACACGAGCAGGGGGCGGACAGCTGACCTGACGCGGACGTGGACGCAGTCGCAGCAACCTGAGGGGACTCAGTAGTCAGTGTGTACAGGTCCGACCCCGGCTGCCGAGTGAAGGTAGCCAAGTGACGGCCCGTACGAGCACACGTGCAGTGTGTCACGCGCTCGTAGGCAGGAGTGAACTGGTGAACACCCCCGTCCTGGAGTGCACATCCTGCCACCAAGTTCGTAGAGAACGAGGGGAGGTGGAGACCTGACAGTGTGCCCGACGGGACCGCAGGGCAGGGAAGGACAGTGGAAGAGGTCGCAATGACCGGACCCCCAGAGGGGTCAGCAAGGGAGACAGCAACTGGCCGAGCAAGCGGCTCAAGGGCAGTGCGGTCACAAAAGAAGCAGCGAGAAGCACCTGAGTCCAGTGTGAAGGTGTGCAGTGCGGCAGTCGACGCAGTACCAAGGGGGGGAGAAACACGAGCACCTAGAGCAGCAGCCTCACCAGCACCTGGGGTAGCCGACACGCGAGTACCTGGAGCGGCAGACGCACTGGCCCTAATGCCCGGGTCGGGCGGCACACACAAGTACTCAGCACCCTCTCCACTAGTAGACATCACATACATGGCAGATAGAATAGCATCAAAGTCTAGAGCATAGATATCAATCCCCTTCTTCAGGAGATCAAGCCAGCGGGGCAGCTCAGTGGCCTGAGGGAACTGAACACGCCAAGCGTCGTCGAGACGAGAGAAGCAGCGCTGTGTGGCGTGCGGTCGTCCACACTGCTGACCAGTGCGGTCACCAGTGCGAATGACGTACGTGCAGCTAAGACCACCCCCACCCCCGTGCTGAGAGTACCACTCACGGACCTCCTGGGGCGAGGGAGTGTGCTGCTGGCCCTGGCCACCGCCAGTGCCTCCACGGCCACCACCACCGCTGCCACCTCCTCGACCACCCCAACCCCTGCCGCCGCCTCGTCCACCGCCACCCCAACCGCTGCCTCCACTCCTGCCACCTCCCCCGCCGCTGCCGCCACCACCCCCACCGCTACCACTCGCCCCTCCAGCCGAGCCACCACCCCCACTGCCTCCACCGCCCCCACCGCCGCCTCCCCCGCCGTCACCGCCACCACCCTTGCCCCCTTTGCCCTTGCCGCTGCGGCGTCCGCTCGAGGCAGACGCAGCGCCGACCTTCTCAGTACCAAGAAGGTCGACAGCAGCAGCAGAGGCGACAGAGGGAAGAAGGGGGGAAGGAGAACACCCCTCAAAGAACAGGGTACGGGGGTCGCCACGAGAGGCACCTACAGCGACTATGCTAGTCTCAGCTACAAGTAGCTCCTTCTCGAGGAGGGCAATGGTGAGCTCAGTGGGGCAACGAGCTAGGAAGTGGTCCCTGACAGCACGCAGTGTGTCAGGGAGGCGTGTGACTAGGTGGTAGAGAGTGAGCCAGAGTGGAGGGGGGTGCGTGGCAAGGAACTCAGCAGGCATGGCGGCACGGAAGCGGGCCTCACTAGTACGGAGGTGCGTGATGAGGTCAGCGACTGTGTGAAAGGAGGCCAGGTCGGGAAACAGGTAGGGGAGGGAGAGACGGCCTAGTGTGGCAGAGGCAGGTGAGGAGTAGCGAGCAACTACAGCTGTGTACAGTGCATGTGCAGTCTTGTGCTGACCAAAGTGCTCGCGTTCGTCTATCGGCAGGGAGTTGCGAATGACGAAGCGAGCGTGGGCATCACGAGTCTGCCACTGTGAGCGAGCAGTGCTGTTAGCAGTAGCAGCAGGGGCAGTGACATGGCCTAGGGCGTGATCGTACAGTGAGATGTCATCCTTGGCTGTGAGCTGTAGGTAGACGTGCAGGTCATCGAGCCAGGTGTCAAACTTCACAGGGCGGCCCTCAGCATCGAACACAAGAACCTGTGGGCTAGCCATAGGAACAGTAGAAATAGCAGCAGTAGCAGTAGGAGAAGCAGGTAGGACGAACCAGGTAGGGCAGGGCGGCGCGGCTTGGTTCAGGTCGGGTCGCGGCTCGGCTGGGTGGCGCGGCTCGGTTCAGGGCGCGCGGCTCGGCTCGGGGCGCGCGGCTCGGGTCGCGCGGCTCGGGTCACGGCGGGGACGGGCCGCCCGCTCTCCCTCGTGTGCTGCGGCGGGAACGGGCCGCCCGGGGCCTCTAGGTGGTGGGCACGGGTCGGCGAGGTCGGCACGGGGCCGGTTGGGGCCCTAGAGGGGCGAGCGCGGAGCCGATCGGGGCCTGAGCGGGGCTAGCGCGGGGCCAAACGGGGCCTTGACGGGGCTAGCAAGGGGCCGACGGGGCCTGAACGGGGCTAGCGCGGGGCCAACGGGGCCTGAAACGGGGCTGACGGGGCCTGAAACGGGGCTAGCGCGGGCCCGATCGGGGCCTGAATGGGGCTAGCGCGGGGCCGACGGGGCCTGAAACGGGGCTAGCGCGGGCCGACGGGGCCTGAGAGGGGCTAGCGCGGGGCCGACGGGGCCTGAAACGGGGCCAACGGGGCCTGAAACGGGGCTAGCGCGGGCCGACGGGGCCTGAGAGGGGCTAGCGCGGGGCCGACGGGGCTTGAAACGGGGCCGACGGGGCCTGAACGGGGCTAGCGCGGGGCCTCAACGGGGCCTTAAAGGGGCCGACGGGGCCTGAACGGGGCCGCTAGGGAGAGCGGGCGTGGGGCCGACGGGGCCTGAACGGGGCTAGCGCGGGGCCGTCAAGAGGGGCCTCTAGGGGCGTGACACGCCGAGGCGCCCTAGGGCACAGGTAGGTAGGTAGGTAGGTAGTTACGTAGTGGTGGGCCCTTAGAAAATTTCGGTCCTAGGAAGGACCTGCTCTATACCATGTTGGAATCACTGAACAGGAATGGATGAACTAGCAGTGAAATGAGTACAAGTACCTAACCCTAGAATTGTGTACCCCCTATAGGCTAACCCACTGTAGCCTAAACTAACACAACATGTATAATATTTGACAAATAGCCCAGGCGACAAGGCGACATGGACGTTGGAAACTCACATCACGGATGGGGGCGGCAAGACTCTCCATGCGTTCGGAGAGGACTTTGGCGAAAGGAGGCGCAGCCGTCCACTGCCTTCCCCCACGGTTCAACTCCGCCTTCACGCATTCGCCGAAAAACCTGCGCTACGAGACGGAAAAGAGCCATCTGACAAGGCGGCATGAACGCCGTTAAGGAGCGGCGCGACTAGCCGTCGACGTTGTCCCACCTCAGAACGTTGGCTGCCTCCTCCTCGTGCCGCTTGGAGGAGGTTTTGGGGTCGAGGTGGCGGTAGAACGTCCCGATCTCCTCCTCGTCGGGCAAAAGCAGGTCGCCAGGGCGCACAACAAGCAGGACGCTGCAGTGCCTGCCGGGAAGAGGTCCGCCACTGCCCACACAAGCACGACGGAGACATTCAGGGTTCTGTCCGGGAACAACAAGCAACGCGGTCGGCGTGGATCAAACCTCACGGGCGCGGAACACTCACCTGGTGCACAGGGGGATGGCGAGGGCTTCGAAGCCGAAGGCCGACCCGAAAATCAGATGGTCCGCCTTCGACGCCGTCCTGGCAGCGCGAAGACTCGCACCGCGGATCAGGATCATCTTGTCGCCTTTTCCCAGACGATCGAGCTCGTACCTGGGACAACCGGGGGCGAAAAGGCGGGAGCGAAACACTTGCGCGGTGAGCTACAATCCATGCCGGGCGCCGGGGTAAAGCGCGGACAGCAAGACAAGCGGACTCGGACCAAGGTTTCGCACGACGGCGATGTCGCCGGCAGCATGACGGACGTCACCGACGTAGGGCCAATGGTCGAGGACAGGCAAACTAGTTAATAGGACGACGCAGCGCCAAAACGTCCATCGCAGACGGACATCGTCGACCACGCGGAAAAACGACAAGGCCAACGTCGACCTAGAAAGGACGCCGACGAAAACGCGCAGGACAAGGACGAACAACGCGACCTAGGGATGCGCGCTCACGCGAGGCCGAGGTCGAAGCAAGGTTCTGTGAACTCGGCCTTCTCGTCGCGAAGGACTTCGTAGTCCTTCATCTCAAGCGTCACCCCGTACCCACCGATGCCCACTGGCACGTGGAGGGGGAATTCAGTCGCAGGCAGTGCTATCCTACTGGTCGCCATGCTAACACCACTGTCGGTATCACGGAAGGTTTGGGGAGGAGCGCGGAGAGCTGACAGGTAGGCAGAGGAAATCGGAAAGCGAAGTTGGAAAGGAGAAATGACGGATGGAGTGGGACCCCCCATCAAGAAAAGGGCGTGGGCCGTCGGTCGCCTAGTATGCAGCTCGGCGGACGAGGCAGGTCGTCGTGGCCGAGGGCGAGCCTCCGGCTTCGGCCCGTACCGGGCATGCCCTCGAGGGCGGGGTTCGGAAAGGGCGGAGGTGGGTGGTTTGTGTGGGCCGTGCGTGGGGGTGGTCGGGGTGGCGAGGGCGAGCCACGTGTCCCCTCCCGAGGGGCCAGCGATGTTGACGAGGGTGGGGTCGGGCCCTTTGAATTTCGCAACCAACCCGCCTGCCCGGCGAGGGCAGCCCGAGAGGGTTACTAGGGCCTCGCGGGCAACGCGAAGCGAATGTCCGCCTCCGTGAAGGGGTAACTAGGCCCCTCGTCGCTCACGCGCGAGTTCGCCACCCCTCGGCTGCAACGTGGGGTTCTGTAGGAATTGGGGGTGGGGGGCCGGGGCGGGGGGCGTTGGCAGAGCCCCGCCCCGCGCCAGCCTGGCGGGGGATTCACGCGAGGGAGCTGGCCGCCCTGACGCTCGGTCGACCGTCACCCCCCTGCGTCGTCCCAGGCAGAACGGGTGCGTCACCCCGAATTCCGATGAGCGATTCAGCAGAATGTCGACGGCGGTCGGGGTCGACTCCTCGTCGTCTGCCCGACGCTTGTTCCGGCGTTCGCCCGCGGGTTCGCGGATAGTATTTCCGTCGTCGGGACGAATTGAAGCGTTGGCGTTGTCACCGTTCTCGCCGTTAAGTGCCATAGTAGCCGCGTTATGAGCGAAAATGTCCGAAAGGAGTGTGGACGGAGACTGGAAACGAGGTAGTGACTTCAATTTCGCCAGCTTGGAATTGGGAACCCGGAAACTAGGCTAAGCCGTTTGAAAATGAAAGACGTGGGTGGAGGGAAATGACCTCCAGCCCACGTTTTGTACTCCAAAACGGGCGTTTAGCGCGGTTCGCCGATGACCATTGCTACATTACAAGCCGCTTCGCTTTCAAAATACAAAATTTTGAAAAGCGTTACAACTTTTAAAAATATTCATGACCTAGTACTGGAGTGTGAGAGCTGTCCTCACTGGATGGGTCATTTGCGAGGGTGTTTAAAACCGGAGGTCCAAGAGTTTCTAAGTTAGGAAGATTGAAAGGGGAGAGAAAGGTGTCTCGCTCGCGAGCCAGGGTGGTGTCTGGGGTCGTTAAGGAAGAAAATTTCGTGAAAATAACCAGATCTGGAATGCAACATCAGAACTGGTTCGCAGACAGTTTCGGACAGGCTTCAAATTTAGAAAGCTTGCTTTCTCTTACTTATCATTTGGCATCGTTCTCATTTCAACTGGCAAATTACAACATGCACCTCGAGCTAGGAAACAGAAGTGCTAGTACATGTTACTATACTGCGTATCAATCATTGTACTAGCGATTCCTCATGCTACTTGATGTCTATCATGCTACAAGCTATCGATCTTCTCGTTCAAGCAGCGTCGATGATGCCCGTCAGTGTTGGGGCGGGGGGTGGGAGAGTTGCATGAGCCGTTGGAAAACGAGAGACGTGGGTGGAGGGAAATGAGCTCCAACCCACGATTTGTACGGTAGTTGGAGAAGGGCGTTTAGCGCGCTTCGACGATGCCAAAACATGCGTTACAAGCAGCTGCGCTTTCGAAATACGTAATTTTGAAAAACACTTCGTGTGTTTAAAAATTATAATATTTGTTGACAAAATCGTCACTGCTTTCGTCCTCGCTAGAACAGTAGTTTCGCGTGACGAAAATTGTCCCCCCGATTTGCGAAGTGAGTCGTCTACTGCATCACCCCTTCTCAAAGTTACAAGGTTGAGGCACTGAGGGGCTGTTTGGGACGCCGGTTTTAAAGCAGGCAAGCACATTTCGATACAATCACAGTACCATCAATCTTAGTACCTAACTCATTACCCGCAACTGAGTGCATTGCTCATAAAACAGTCAATTAATGGATGCGGATTTACAAGGCGGATGAGAGGGTAGAGCAGCAACCACCTACCGTATCACCTGTTACTACTATTTCTGACAATAATCTTTCTCCGTCCAGAGTCCATCAGGTTCTGGTGTCAGTCCCGGATAGTCATGTGGACGTCCTTGAAAGTAAGCAGGATAAATACCGATTAGTCAGAAGTACGAATCCTCGCTTAGCTTGCGCCCAAGCAGAGACTGATGGCTTCAGATTCGACGATGAACGTCAACCTTCATTGATGTCGTCGCGCCGAGTGCACAGCTTGAAAATGCTCGGCCGAAGTTAAAGGATCGCCAGGACCTTAGATGAAGCCAGCGAGCTCGTGAAATGTCAGCATCCAAATTATATTAAGTTGCAATGATGTTGCCGCTAGATGATGCTTTCAGTGATTCTCCAGCAAAGTCGTCACAGTGCTGGAATTCGAATTACCCGTTGACATCGACATTGCCGAGTCAGATTCCGCCAACGAAAAGTCAAGACGACGAATGAAGCCGCGGGAAAGCGGTTTCTGCGAGGCGCCGAAGACCTTGAACGTTCCTTTGCTCTTGACAGGTGCTCCGGGACAGATGAGGACGGAAGCACGCGTACTCAACGGCGTACCGACAACCTCAACGTTAATGCAGCCGGTTTGCCGTCCACGGGACCGTTTTACCGACAGGCGAGGCGTGGCTGCGCCTGAGTCTCTCGATTCAGTCACATTAGCTGCGAAGTTCGACCCGGAGAAGTCGACTGCCGTGAGATCGTTCATGCTCTTGCATCGAAGCTGCATCGAGCCCGCCATTCCAAAAGAAGAATTTGGCAGGAGATTGGCCGTAAACGCCGGAGCCATGAGGTAGGATATGTAGGGGGGTTGAGCTACAGATGCTCGTGAACTGAAGATAGGCGAGTGAAACGGAATTTAGCTCACTGACGAACATGAACATATAGGTGGTCGCCTGACGTCTGAGCGGTGCACGAATGTCAACGACCAACAGACGGAGAAGAACGCGGAAACAATCCACAAATCGAAGGGACGGTGCCAACTCAGAAGGACGTATCAGTCAAGAAACAGCTACGGTGAAAGCTAGCAAATGTCAGACACAGAGCATCAACTGAAAATGCAGCTGCAGCATTCAGCTGTATTTGTGCTGGAGACAGGGAAGCTGTGGGGGAGGGGGGAGAAAGAAAGGAAGGAGAAGGGGGGAGCGGGGAGGTGTGGGGGAAGTTTGGAGGAAGAAGTTTGGGGAATGGGGGAGGTGTGGGGGAAGTTTGGGGGAAGAAATGGGTTTGCGGGGTTGATTTCGTAGCAATAACGGCAACGAGGGTGCATATCCCGCGCCAGGTGGGGTGAAGAGGGGTGGGGAAAGGTAGGAAAAGAGGAAGGGGTCAGAAGGAATGGGATGGGACCAAGGGGTTCCAGTCATAGCTGAAATAATTGGCAGGGGGGAAGAGGGGGAAAGGGCTTTGGGGGACGATAAGAGACAAAGCTGTGCTTGCGTTGACCTCACCCTCGATTTATGATGACGCCACGAGTGCGTTGATTGGTTGAGCCGGTTTTCGAAGAACCTGAGGAAACCGCAACAACGCCGAAATCTGGTTTACGATACCGGCTTTGTGAATGAGGGGGACGAACATCGCTAGGCTTGCTGGGTTCGGTTAGGTGAGGTGAGGTTTGGGAGGTGCAGTGGAGGGGCCACGTCAGGCCCACGCGTGAGCCGAGTTCGTTTGGCTGGAAATTCAAGCTGGAAGCCATTCGAATTTCCCGCTGATGGTCAGGTGTCACCCGATTGTCGACATATGAAATTCCACCCCACCTGTCCAATGTCAACACTACAGTGCGGAGCAGTCCCATACGATTCCGCCCCATGGGTTGGGCTCCAGTTCCTACTTCAACGGGGTGCCAGCAAAAGAAGCTTCCGCGAAGTAGATGAGTTTGAGATGGATGAACTCACCCTACTCAGCAAGTATGCATAGCAGGCCTATTAAAAATTGACATATATTACGAGTCCGCAAAAGCGCCGCACTGAAAACCAAAGCTGCTATTTAGCAAACAAACAAAATTGGCGTGCTGCCTTGGATCACCAGTACTCCTCAAAGCGTTCAGCTTGTCACTAAAGAAAGTGCTCCAACCTACGAATACATCTCTGGGACTCCCAGCATTCACACAGTCACGACTGTAGAAGGATGCATCGTATTTAGCCCGAAAGCCCCGATGCATACAGTTTTGTGCCCTAAAACTACCACCAGCAGCCGCGCTTGGCACAATGACGTCAAGAAAGCGTGTGGCTGTTAGGACATAACTGCTGCCACCAATCTGTGACTGTAATCCACGTCAGGTTCGTGAAGCGATCTGACGATATCACTTCTGCATGCAGTAAGGAATTATTTCATTTCAAGAACAACAGCCCAGCAAATGCGTGATGCCTGGTTCTGCTGAGAGTGGAGGACCGCGGTAAAACTGTTGAAGCCCTGCCTGTAAACTGCACTAGACACTTTGAACTCTATTTACATAAGCAGATACTTGCTAGGTTCAACTAAGGATAAAATTTTACACTACTACCAGTGCGCGAGTACAGTACTTTCGTTTCTGTTAATGTTCAGTCCAGCAGAGATGAGAGATCGCCGCTGGCGTGCCAACCAGCTTCACACAGTCAGCACGAGGCTGATCAATGATGGCTCACGTGATTCGGCTATTAGATGCGGTGTGAAAGGTCGGATTCTGCTCCGTATTCTCAGGCCATTTTTATTCCAAGGTGCAATAGGTGAGGTGGTGAGGAGGACGCCAATTATTTTGAGCCAGTGATTAAGGGAGGCCCAATACTAGCTGTGGCCGATTTCCGAATATTAAGTAGGCGGCCACAACACTAAGTGTGGCTCCTTTTCGCGCTGAGTTTAAAAAACGAGTGAAACCAGATTGCGATGCGAACAACCTTGAAGCCAGCCCATTTCCTGAACAGTCCCCGCTTCTCTGAGGTTCCAGAATTGGGACCAAATACGTTCCATTGCGTTGTTTCGGGAGAAAATTTGGCCACGTCAAGCCCACGGCATCGCAATCAGCGACCGTCAT